TGAGAATTTATGAACCTGGGCAGGCTGCAGTGGTGCAGGGCCCGGGATGCTGCTCACACAGGCTGTCCCAGGGACGTGGTCACCGTGTAAAGGAGGGACATGGGGGCTGCCACCAGGCAGGGCAGCTGTGTGCTCTATACCCTCACCCCTCTATACCCACCTCCCTCTCCTGTCTCTTTCTCTCTTCTCCAGAGCTCAGGAATGCAAGCAGGGCTTGAGCATCATTAGCACAAGATGCAGGGTTGGCTCAGCCCTACACACTGATGGCACTGGGTGGTGCAGGGTGGATGTAGTCCCTTGCTGGGGCTGTGTCTGGGGCTGCAGTGTAGGTCAGCATCCCCTGTTGGCACGAGACACCATCACCTGTTGCCTTATCTCTCATAGTGAGTGCGCTGCTTCGCTGCCGTCGCCCAGCAGGGCTCGTTGCATGGGAACGAGTGCACACAAACCCAGCTCTGCTGCTGCCAACTCCGTCATTTGGCAGGGGAGAGGCTGAGCCCCTCCTACCCAACGCTGTTTTCTTGTTTGTCTTTTTTCTATCGTTCGTTTTTTCCTTCTTACTAGAAATAAAGAGCGAAAGAAAGGAAGAGAGCCAGCCCTTTTCCTACTCTTCTCCTCCTCCTCCTCATTAGCGCTGCATCCCAGGCAAGCTCAGGAAAGTGCAATTTCCTTTGTGTCACCAGTGGCACAGAAATCTTCTCCATGGCAACACGGCCGGCGGCGGGCAGTGCTGGGCTCTGGGATGCCTGCAAGGCTCTGGGGGTGGCTGGGAGCAGGGGGGATCTGGGGACACGGAGGGGAGATGCTGTGTGGTTCAGAAATCCAGGGCACTGCAGAATGCAGCATCTTTGGGGGGCTGCAATTGGGCGCTGGGCATCTTGCTTTTGACAAAAGAAAGAATTCGTGGTGTCCCACAAACTCTGAGCTGGGGTGTTTGTGGGGACAGCAATTAGCCAGAGGATATCTGGTCAGAGGTCTGGATGCTTGGCTTTACCATGCCCAACAGCATGACACAGCCCTGGAATAAGGGACATCCGTCTGTCAGGGCTGCAGTAACCTCTGGGGGGTGAGAAGTGGACTCCTGCATGCAGCTGTGGGGCTAACCCAGGGCTGCTGTCATGCTCCCCACAAGTCAGGTGTTCACGCTGCCATTGCTCCCACTGTGTTTCACGTGGGAGAAAAAGGGAGCTTCCTCCTGGAGACTGCGCTGGGGAGGGGTGGAAATGATCCTCAGTGCAGCTTCCTACGGCATTCCTTAATTACCCTTCTCACAAGGTTCAGACACAAGCAAGCCTCTGCAGAGCAAACAGCCCTTTGTTATCTAATAACTCACAGGGAACAGCGATTTGCATACAGCAAGAGGAACAGAAAAAAAAAAAAGAAGCAGAGGAAAATGCCTCCCTGTGAACATCACAGAAGCATTTGATGGCAATAACTCACCCTGGCCAATCTCCCTGTCTGGAGTTCTCCCTGAGTATCTGGGACGAGTGGGACTTGCAGTTCTCTCTTCTTGAAGGCACTGCACTTGGCAGAGCCTTTTAACTAAATTGAATGTCTCTGTCCTGCAAAAATCTGCTTACATGCTGCCTTTCATGCCAGCGCACCTGGACATGCTGGTGATTGCACTACAGAAGAGCAAAGCCAGATGAAAAAGCTTATGAAATGTCAGTAGAAATGTAAGTGGTCAAGAGCTGGAGTGCCTGTTCAGCAGTGGTTTTCATCCCAGATTGAGAGGAGGGAGTGAACGATCAGGGCTCAGTGTTAAACGTGGGATTTGCGTTGGTTTGTAAAGTTGTAAAGCTCAGTGTGGCACTGCTGAGTGCTCTGTGGACATGGAGCCAGGGGGAGAAGAGGCACTGGGCTGGGGCTGAGCTCAGGGACTCTGTCTGCAGAGAGGGGCTGGCATAGGATTATTGAATCACTAAAGTTGGAAACGACCTCTAAGATCATCCAGTCCAACCATCCACCTACCACTAACGTTGCACACTAACGTGTCCATCAGTGGCACATCTCCATGCTTCTTGAACACCTCCAGGGATAGTGACTCCACCACCTCCCTGGGCAGCCTGTGCCAGTGCCTGACCACTCTTTCAGAGGAGTTTTCCCTAATATCCAACCTGAGGGCACGGAAGGGAAAGGTTTTGATTCAAGTGCATATGCTTTGGTTTCACTAAATGCACAGAGGGTATCGCTGGACTCAGTGGAAAGGGACTGTCTTATCTGCAATTGGATTATTTTTAAGTGAAAAGACAGTAGCAGCTGCTAAAATGCATTGACTTGTTGAAAACATATAGATTTGGATAGCAATGCCATAGAGCGCTATCACTTAGGTGTCTCAGCCCATCTGCGTAAAGTAACTATTGATTTTGGTTGATATGCATTGATTCCAAGAAAACTGCCCTGCTTTGAAAATGAACTTCCAGGAGTTTCAAGGGAAAATGCAATGCGTCGTCTCTCTTGCAGGGCTACCTTGTTTTGTTAAACGTGTCTCGCGTGTTTGAAAAACAGAAGCAAAGCCAAACAAATAGCTCGGAGGGAATTAAAATGCATCGATTCTCAGGGTGGGAATAATGGCCTTCGTTAAAAGCTTTTGGAGACGTTAACATACATTGCTTTGAATAAAGATCTCCCTCTGGCCCACTGCTCCTGCACCTGCTACCATGACAATTATTTGGATGGGAAGGTGGGGAGCTGAAATGCAGCCGTGCTGCCTCAGGGGTCCCTGTGTGCAGAGCCAGGCCTGCAGGAGATGGGGAGAGAATGGGAGGCACTGGGAAGCCTTGTCCTGTCTGCCCTCCTGCCCTGAGACAGGGACTGTCCGTCTGTCCCTCATGGTCTGTCTGGCTGTTTGTCCAGCTGTGCCATGTGATCTGTCTGGCAGTTCCTCGTGATCTGTCCACCTGTCTGTCCAGTTGTCTCTTGTGGTCTGTCTGACTGTCTGTCCAGCTGTCCCTCATGGTCTGTCGGCCTGCCTGTCCGATTGTACCTCATGTTCTGTCTGGCTGTCTCTTGCTGTCTGCCTGCCTGTCTGGTTGTCCCTTGCAGTCTGTCTGGCTGTCCCTAGAGGTCTGTCTTCCTACCTGTCTGATTGTCCCTCATGGTCTATCTGACAGTTTGTTTGTCCCTTGAGGTCTGTCCAACTGTCTGTCCAGCTGTCCCTTGTGGTCTGTCTGACTGTCTGTCTGGCTGTCCCTCACTGTCTGTCTGTCTGCCTCTCATTGTCTATCTAGCTGTCTGTCTATCTGGCTGTCCCTCACTGTCTGGCTGGCTGCCCCTTGCTGTGTGTCCAGCTGTCTGTCCGGCTGTCTGTCTGGCTACCCCTCACTGTCCGTCTGGCTGTCCCACTGGAGGTATCTTTTCCCTCGCAGTCATTTTAATTGGCAGGGAGCAGTGAGCAAACCGGCAGCAGGTCTCAGCCAGCCTGACCTAACAGAGCCTTGCCGCTTGGATCAACAGGCAGAGAGTCCATATGGGAGACTAAGCCCTAGTCCTTCCAGCAAGTCCTTACTGTTAATTAAAGGTATTAATTGGCATGCAGCCTGCTTATTTAAAGAGGCAGTGGCCTCTGCAGTGGCTGGTGGTAATTATAGATACACAGAACTGCTCCTAAATGAGTGGTACAGGTGGGAGGATGGGAAAGGGGCTCTGCTAGCCCCAGCTCAGGGGCTTCTGCCCCTTTGTGTGCTCCTGGGGAGGATGGATGTTTCTGGAACTGTGCTTGGAAGTGGGGAGCATCAGCATGAATGCACGACTGGGGCTGGACCCAGTAGTACCCTGGCTCTTCTGCACCATTCCAGCACTCCAAGCACTTGAGCGGGTGCAAGCAGGAGGATTTTATTGTTGGGCACTCCCCTGCCAGAGCCTCCGCCCCAACTTGGTTAAAGTCTGTGCAGTTCAATTTCTGAACGTAGTCTGGGAGCAACATGAAAATTAGATCTAATAATGAATGATTACAACTTTCAAGTTAAGTCTAGTTGGTTGACTAATCAATTTGGTTAAGTGAAAATCCATAGCAAATGAGTCAGCCGCAGTACAACATTTCTCCATCCAATTTAAATTAAAATCACCAACCATAATAATTTCACAATTACTCTGTGAGGATGCACCAGGGACTTGCCCCTTGAGAAAGAAAATGTCAAGGACTGCAGGAGAGACACCAGGGGCACTGGGAGCGTGGGGATAGGGATGGATGCTCCAGCAGTGGGGATGCATTATTGGGTCTCCAGGTGACACCGTAGCTCCTCAACACCAAAGCACAGCACCTCCCATTCCCCATCTCTGCATGCAGCCCCCAGGGGTTTGGCCATTATTTATAGCGATGGAACAGGGCAGTGCGAGAGGGGAGCCTGGTCTTGTAGATCAATTTGTAATTTTTCTTTTTCTCTGTGGCAAGAGTGTGAGGGATGTGAGCATTAAATCCCCAGGAAAGTCGCCTCTGCAGCAGTCTTTAGCGGTCTGCATTATTTATTTGTGTACATTTGTGTTACACACTGGGCCCTACCAAAATAAGTAAATAAGACCTGGGCAAGCTGTGTCCGTAACTCTGTAACGGAGCAGATGCTTGGGATGGGCCTCATCCTGCACACAGGTGGGCTGCAGGGAGGGGTCTGGGTTCACAGAACCAGTCCTGCTTTCTGCTGGGTCCTTTGCCCCTGTTGTTTACAGCAAGTAATTAATGACCTGTTCACCCAGAAAGCAGAGGACAAGATGACTCTGATGGTTCAATAATTCAGTGCTCTTACAGAACTTTGTGCTTGTGCAAAACACTCAGGTGCACACTGCAGAGCAGCTGGCATGGAAGGCTTTGCAGAGGTTTCTGTGCGTGGCTGTTGTAGTGGAAGTGCTAAGTCATGGCTTCAAGCAGTGATTGAGCACCTGGTGGGAAGGCAGGGCCAGCCCAGGGGAGCTCAGGTGCACGCAATGCAATGCACCTGAGAAACCAGAAGGGGGTGGAGGCAGGATCCATCCCTCCCCAGACTTCATTTAAGGGTTGCCAGTGGAAGCAAGCACATCTTGCTGGAGTTCCCTGTGTACCTGAGGCCTTCTGAAGGTAAGCAGCTTCTTTCTTTTGGTTTTGTGGCTGTTGTATTTGAGTAACTCCTCACTTGCTGTAGCCTAGGACCTTACTACTCTGCTGTCATTGCTCCCCTTTCTATCAGGTTACAACCGTCGCATGTGTAGCTCTGCTGTTGGCATGCAGCTGTGCACACGTGTCTGGTGTGGATGTTTGCAGCAAGGCCTGGTCTCAGTGCAGCCTCACGCTGTACTGCAGCACTGACAGGCTCTGCTTTCCTTCCTCTGGCATGTGCCAAAAGTAGCAATCAGATGGACGTTGCTTGTGTGACCCACAAAGGACTTTGTGAGGGCTGCCCAAATAAATAATAAAGCATTTCCTTGCTGTTGTGAAAGAGCTCCTGTGGGAAAAGCATTTTGATGTATTTTGATAAAAGGGTCAGGCCGTGGCCAGTGGGAGCCAGGAGACATTTATTTAATGCCGCCAACACAAAGGGCACTGAGAGCAATGTCTGCCCACTCCCGAGCTGACATTTCTGCTTCTCATTTCCTGGGTTTAGGATGTGGGGGCTGTACTGGGGGTGTGTGAGGGTCACTGCCTTGCAGCCACCCCACCAGGCTTTGTGCCTTCTGCCTGCGTCTGTTGGAAGGGGAGGGAGGCATGTAGCTCATGGAACTGACGGAGCCGTGGATTACTTGGAGCCTCTTGTACTAACTTTACAAATGCTGCATGTCTGCAGGCTTTTAATAGTTGAATTCCTGGGTAAATGGATAAAAAATATGTCCTGTGGGGACTAAAGGCTTTGGGGAATAACTTATGCAAATCCTCCACTCTGAAAGCAGGTGGTAACAAGTTTTCTGCAGCTTGCCTCGTGGTGATGGTGGGAAATATGCAGAGTTGAGTAGTATGGGACAAAAGCCTCGTGAGGATGAAATCATGAGACCTGCTTGGCCCTGGGCACCTGACCCTCCCTTGGAAGGGATGGAGGCCATGAGGAGGTGATAGCCAGGTACCTGGGAAGATGGGAATGGACAAACTATGTGGTGTTGTCTTTATCTGTTGAGTGACAGAGCTGAAAGCAGGCACCGCCAGGTCTGCAGTTGGGTTGCTCTGACCCAGTCCCTCCAGAGTGCTCATTTCTAGCAATGCAGAGCTCAGCTCATACAGGAGCTCTGGGGCTGCAGCGTAAGGAGCCCAAACTCTGTGTCTCTCTTGGTGTGAAGCCTCAGGTTTTATTGGGCAGCAGGAGCTGAGGTGTTGAAAGATGCATTATGAATGCAAGGTGTAGGGAACAGAAATTATTAAACTCACAGATAGCAACAGAGCTTCCTTTGTGAGCGGTGGAGATGGGAAATTATGCTGAAGCAATGCATTGCAAATCACCCAATGAAAGGCAAAGAAGGGCCTTTTATCCTCCAGGCCCTGAAGTTTTTCCGGTATCTTTGTATGCAGAGGCATTCCTTCAGGGGAGAAAGAGAAGCCAGCAATTTTGTGGCTGATTGGCAGGCTGTCCAGTGCCAATAAAGATATTTGTTTTTTCATAGAAGTGCTCACAGACTGAAATCTCGCTCTTGCATTTTCCATTACAGAGGAAAATGAAACTTGGAATGCTTTCTCCATTAGTGCTGCTTAGCCTCGGAGTAATAGCGGTGCTTGAGCGACTTGAAAGGAGAAACACTGTGCTCCAGCACAGCAACCAGAGCAGACATGCTGTGTGGAGCATGCTTAAATCACCAGGGAGCTGGGTGCCCTGGAAAGTTCATCATTATGGCTATTCTTTTGTGTTCTTGGTCACTGGGGTGAGGTAGGGAACCAGCATCAGGGGCACAGGCTGGGGGACAGGAGGCTGGGGAAGGGTTGGTGAGCACCAAGCATCCTGAGGTGGCTTTAGTGACCCGCTCCATGAAGAACCTGGATGGTAGCGATGCTGAGATGGATGTAGTTATCCCTGCTGGGTGGCACAGCCCAGGGATGTGGGGTGAGATCCTCTACTGGTCCCTGTCCCACTAGGTGTCCCTGTGTGCTGCCCACTCCCACCACGCTCCATACTATCACCCCACATGCGCAGATCCCCGGCAGAGAGCAGGAACATCTGTTAACACAAATGCCTTCCTAATTTCTCCTTAACTCTCACTCAGCATCTGTGCTGAACAAGCCCCGTTCAGCTTGTACCCTGTTTAATTCTGGAACGGATTCAAAAGCGCAGTGGAGCCGGGAGCAGAGAGGAGAGAGACGCTAAATCTTTAATGGTGTGCCGAGTCAGAACTTCTGCCGGGCTCCGTCCTAATCACAAGGGGGAGAATAACCAGAGACAGAATTTCTTAATAACAAACACCTTTGCAGCAGCTCATTAAATCACTGCATTTCTGAGGCACAGCAGGACACTTGTGTGAATAAATAGTGCAATCTCCCAGTCTTGAAGTATTTTCACATCTGAGTTATTTCCCCTGCATATGATCAGCTCTGTGTTTTTTTTTTTTTTGGCTCCCCATCTCTACCACGAACGATTTTCGCTGATGAGCACAATTAACAAATGAGAGACAAAGCTGAAAAAAAACCACATCTCCCCCCCAGTTCTTTCTTTAATGTTTTAGAATTGCACAAATAGCAGAGAAAAATGGAGTGAGGAGAGATTTCTGTTGATGATCTGAAGGCACAGCTTTTTTTCTCCTGTTTACTGCCTGTCTTTGTAGACAACAAAATGCCAAATGAAAAAGAAAGAGGGAGAAAAAAGGGTGGCAAAATAAAAGGAGGAAGGAAAGAAAGACCCTCTTCAGGGTGTTTATCCAAGCAGCGTATTTGCTCATTTCCTATCCCAGCTCATGCATAACGCCAATGAGATGGAAAGAGCCTGTTTTGCTTGAGAGGTACCAACAAACTGGGAGACATGCTGCACAATTGACTGCGGTGAAATAAATCGAGCAAAAGGTTCCTTCCATCACCCTGGCTCTGCAGGGTTCACGGGAGGGGTGAGCACATCCATCGCGCATGTCGCTGGGGCTGTGCTGTGGGTACTGAGCCTCCTGCTCAGCAGCACTGAAAACAGGGCAGAGCAAGTGTGTGTTTGTGGCCGAGGATGGCCAGGGTTGCAAGGAAATCAGGGCTGTGAGCAGAGTTTAATAGCACCATTGATTTACGGTTATAAATGCTGCATCTAATGTAGGGCAGAGAGTGTTTGAGGAATTTCTAGAAACTGAAGAATTTCAGCACTCTGATGGCAAAACTAGGCTGGGGGTACCATGGGCAGGGTTTGGAGTTCCTTGGGCAGGGATTGGGTAGTAGGGGTTGGGCTGGAAATACTATGGTTAGGGCAGAGGATGTGGTGGACAGGGACAGCAGTACCACGGACAGTGGTTGGGGGACCATGGACAGGGCTGGGCGCTCCTTGGGCAGGGTTATGGGTACCGGGGGCAGGACTGGGGGTACTGCATGCTGTGCAGGGCTGTAATGTAGGGACTCTGCTGTGGAACACAGGGCTCGCTGCTGGCCTTTTTCTGGCTCCTCACCTCTACTGCCCAAGGCTTCTGGCCGCTGCTTTGTTGTATGATTTTAGGGGAGGTGTTTCGTGTTGTTGGTTTTTTTTTTTTTAAGTGGATGACCTTTTTTCCCCTCTCCTATCTGAATGGCTGAGGTGAGGTAATGCATTGGAGATGTGAACTTGAGCAGAGCAATGCCATAAAGCCAGCAATAGTGCTTATTCAGTAGTTCAGCTATATGAAGAACTCAGATAATGGCATCAGAAAACTCATGGCCCTGCAGCACTCCATCACGCATGCTGACCTGGCTGCCTGCCCTCTACCAACTCAGTTATTTGGGAGCAGGCAGTCAGGTCTCCAGGTGGACACCCTGCAGCTGGTGTTCCAGGAGCTGTCCTTGTTTGGGGAGGCTGAGGCCTACACTATGCAGCTCATCATTTGGGGAACTCTGACCTCCAGCATCAAAAACTGAGAGGTTTATCTCCTTTCTCCTTCTGCTTTCATTTAAGAAGCATCATGCCCATTCACGTCCTGTATTTTGTTTGCTCTCTGGCTTGCTTTCCTTCTCATAAAGTGGGAATAACTGCCAATTCACAAGGAGAAATGTTGTCCCAGTGATGTGTTGCAGAGCTGGGGATGAAGCAGCTCAGGACCCACATCTGGTTCACACCCCATCCCATGCACTTCACGGGGACACTACTGCATCCTGGCATCCTTAATTTACACCTGTCCATGTGGCACTTCATATGAAGCATTTTCCAGCATGGTCTAATTACAAGGTAAATAAATGGTCCCTCCCTTATAGTTAATTCGTTAGGTAGCTTTATTGCCAACAGGAGAGAGATGACACAGAAGGATATTACATACAGTGTTGCTAGTAATTATTTTTATTACTTCACACTAGTTTTATTGTGGTAGTAGGGGGAGTTTTGAGTTGTCGCTTTCTGCTTGGTGTAGTTAATGTTCTCTGAGACAGTCTGGCATGGCTGAGCAGGGTCAGGTCCGCAGGCTGTGCTGAGCATCTCCAGGAGAACTCTGAAATGGGAGAGCACCTGCTGATTACTCCCCTGCTGCTGGACCAGGGCTTTTCCTTTTCCTGTAAAACCTTGGTGAAGAGGCTGACATTTGCAGGATTTTGGAGGAAATGGGTATTGCTGGAGTTGTGTATGTGAGTGCTGATGGATAACAGCTTCAGTCAGGTGGGGCAAGGACCCAGCTCTTCCCTTAAGCATAAGATAGGCTTTTGCTTTTGGATTTATTTCACTGCCTTCTATTGAACAAAAATAACTATTTTAACAGCAAACTACTTCTGTAGGCAAATAAATTCTCTGAGCTCCGAAGAATATTAAGGTGTATAAATGTCTTTGTGAAAGATGATGAATTCCTGTAGTCTTCTCTAGTGAATTTTGCTTCTGTAAATCTCTAATCTTTGCTTGTGCTAATTGGTCATAGCATTAATTAATCTGATTTCATTATATTCTCTTTAATTTGTCAAGATACCATTTCTTTATTGGGCAAAGAAACACTTTAGAGGATTGTCACAATTGGAATAATCCCCCCCTTCTTTAAAGTTACCAAGAGAAGTCGTTATCAATTAAGCTAATTTGCATACGCATTAGTGTAATCGTTTTAGTTTAGCCAAATTTGCGAAAATTTACATAGCAAATTGACCTTCCACATTTTCACTTAAACATATAAAGCACAAGAGAGAATTGCGTTGGCATTGATAATGAAATGGAGATTATTTTGCATGGTTCTCTTACTAAAAGAGGCCTAATTAGACCAAGTAATTTTTTATTTCATCCGTAATTGCAAAACAAATAAGCTCTTTGGCAATTTCTTCCCTTTCCCTTTGCCCCTGTCACGTGGAGGGGGAGTGCTAATAGGAAAGTCGTGTTCTCATTAAGCCACATTTGATGTCTATGTGCTCTTCCGTCAGAAGTCCTTCAGTTTCTTCCAGGTATTCTGCTTGAGCTGTTCAAGTTGCCTGGATCACCTATTAATAGACAGCTCCCTCAGTCTGGTCTGCTGAAGTAACAGACAAAAAAAGGAAAAAGAGAAGTAGTGCTGCATGTGTAAAGCAGCGCAGCCATGAGAACAGGCAGTGTCTCCCTTCCCACGCGGGGGAATTACAGCAGAAAGAATTCTAGGCCATGAAACACAATGGTGGGGAGTGCTGGAAGTGCCTCTGCTGGGGTACCTGGGCTGTCACCGAGTCTGTGGTCACGTGCAGAGGGATTCTTGCTCAGTGTGGAGGCATACAGGGAGCAGAGCTGTGGTTTGGGTGGGCATGTGGTGCTGACACCAGGATGGCTAAGCGGCTTCTCCAGGTATGGAGGCAAAGCAGAAATGGCATTTCTGAACGTGCCTGCTGCAAACCCACTGAGCTGTGACTCAGTGTGATGCGGGAGCACTGTTAGAATTAAGGAAATGTTAATGCATGCAACCAGTATGTGTAGCTGCAGAGGGAGGCTATGAGCTGCAGGAGGGTGGGGGAGTGCAGGGGACCCTCCTGGTGCCTGGGGGTCTGGGCAGTGCCTTGGTTCCATGCTTCCCACCCCACCTCCAGCAGCCTCTGCTACAACCCAGCAAAGGTATTTGCATTTCCTTCCTGCCTGTCCCCACCTTGCCCACATGCAGAGGGCAGCGCCAGGTGGAAAATCGTCCTCTCGGGTTGTTAACTGAGTGAGTGCTTCCCCCCACCACCATATTTTTTTGGCCTTGAGTGTTTTTAACGGCAGCCTTCATGGTTTGATGGAGGATTTTACACTAATGCAAGGCATTACCTAGTTAATTTGGCCAGAATAGAGTGTAATTTTGCACGGTCAAAGTCATTGCTACTTGAGCTAAAAGTTCCATTACAGTGCACTGCCCACCTAGCTATTTCAGAGCACGCAGAGATAAGTAGCATTTTATTAATGGGTGTCCTCGGGAGCTTATTTAAAGGATGGCTCCTTGTCTGCATTGGAGATGAATATGGGAAGGAGCCAAGGCAGTGAGGGATGCTGGCAGCTACCATGGATTTGCCACCCCTCTCAGCATGGTGATACTCCGTCCGGCTCTTGGAGCATCGTGCCTGCAGGCTGCTCTGGATGCCTGGTCCCAAGCAGGGATCTGGTTGCATGAGGGCATTATTATGCCAAGCACTGTGTAAACATAGAACAAAAATTTGGCTCCTTCGCTTATAAATAATACATGATCCTCTTTGATCATTCGTGTTGGCTGAGGGCTCCCCAGCCTCTCCTGAAGTTGGGACTTGGAATGAGCAGTGCTACAGTGCTCATTGCCCTTTCCCTACAGGAGGTCTGAAACAGTGAGATGAGTAGAGTGCATGGCTGGCGAAGCCATCTGCAACCCTGCCCTTGTCAGCATCCCTTTGGGATGCTTTGAAACCCCCTCCTGGCTCAGATGGGCTGTGGTAGGTGATGGAGCAGCCCAATGGCCATCACAGCCTCCAAATTGCTGCAAGGCTGTTGTTTTTCTTTTGACTCCTGTGCCCTTGCTAAACCCAGTGCCAAGTGGCTGCCTGCTCCCTCCTCGTGCCCCTCTGCACCACCTTGTGGCTACTGCTCATGAGCTAAATCCCTTCAACGTGGTGGCAGCTTGTTTTTGAAATTCTTCTCTATTCTCTCCTACCATCCAGCTGCAAAGCAATGTGCACACCAAAAGCAAACCAACCTTGCACAAATTATCCCGATTCCTGCCTTGCGAGCAGAGACAGCTGTGACTGATTCCAGCAAAACACCTTGTGTCTGGTCTACAAAGCCCGAGCTAATCCGCACGTCCAACCAAAGCAGGTCCTTCCTCATCACATGCTTGTGCTGCCAGAGCAGGGGATGTGGATAATACTTTGGAGCCACTACAAACGCTTCGGAAAAGACTCTGCCATGGTAGCAAACAGCTGGTGTAGCTAATCCATTTTCCAAGCACATTTGCAAGATACATAATTAAGAGTTCTGTTGAGGGGCGAAGCAAAGCAAACCATCAGATTTGTTTATAATATTATGGGTAGTGTAATACTCACTCAGGATCTCCCTTCCCTGCAAAAGACATTAAGGTGATCCTTAGGAAATGTCTCTGGGATTTCCTGATGATGCCTACATGACATCAAATTTGTGTAAGTATTTCCAATTCCATTTGCCATACAATTAAGCACCTCGAAGGATCCCATGGATTTTTTTGCACTTGTTAATTGCTGGATCAATCCAGATGATATTCCGTTAAGTTCTCTCTTTTGATTTCTGTTGTCTCTCAGGCACAAACTGGGATGGTTTGAAGAAGAGGATGAGCAAGTTCCTTCAGTCTCATCATGGCAGCACGAGTGTGTTGACAAGCTACATGTGTTTCACCTGCTATTAACTTGCTGCTCGATGACAAGCGACTGTTTCTTCCAGAGCAAACGAACACTGTCCAGGTTGAAATTAGCTTGGTTGTGGCCCATGTCCAAAGCAATGTTTGTGTTTATACGTCTCTGAGTTTAGGGCAGCTGTTGCAATGTGGCACTGTGAATTGGGTCTGCAAAGGGAGGCTGCATGAGGGAAGAGCAGGTGTGAAATACCTATCTTTTGCTTTATAAAAATTTCCACGTGGTCTCTACTTTGTAAGACCCACCTAGCACCTCCCAGTGAGTTCTACTGAAAATCCCCTCATGGCAGGGGGAGAGAGTTGGTTTGAGAGGGGGAGAAGTCCCTGATCATCACAGGGGAGTTGGACTAAATGACCCTTAAGGGCCCCTTCCAGCTCAGGTGATTCTATGGCTCTATGAGAGAGAGGTGCCCATGTCTCTGTGCCCTTAGGGTGCAGCAGAACAGAGAAGTGAAGCCACAGCGATGCATCCCAGACTCCATCCCAGCACTTTTGCTACTGGAGGAGGATGTGCAGACGCTGCTGCTGCCCTGCAGCATGATCTGGAGGCGTGCTCAAGCTCCCAACCACCCTGAGCCTTGCTCTGCACCTACTCTGACTCTCTCTGTGCTTTCATGCAGGTTCTGCAGCTCCGTGTGTTTCTCGCCGTGTTTCCATCCTGTCGAACACTCAGCGCCTGCCCTGCACGCATTTCGGAAGCGAAGGACTTTCCTAATTACAGTGCGAACAATCCGAGGTGGGCTCCTGTCTGTCTAACTGTCAGGGAGAATAAGTCAGCGGTGAGTCAGAAGCAGAGATGTGGAAATGATGCGGGAGAAAGGGAATAGTCTGTGCTGGGCTTAATCACAGGGGCCAGGTGCTTTACATTTCTTCCAACAAAACTCTGTTTGCTGCGGGTGCCTGAGGCTAGCTGAGGCGGGCAGCATAGCCGGGGCTCATCAGGCTCACTTGCCTCCTGGGCACTGTCTTTCACTTGGCTGGGCATTGGCATCTCTGCACCCATCGCATCGCACCCATTCCTTGTTCTGTGCGCGCCCCCAGAGCGGTCAAGATGCACCGTGCAGCCTTCCCTTGGAAGCTGTTTGCTTTGTCATCATTATTTTACTATTCCTTATTATTATCAGCAGTAATGCAAGCCCTTTGCCTATAGAAAGGATTTTTTTTTTTCCTTCTGGAGGGATCCAGGAATCCTCCACTTACCTATGTCGTATTTATTACGCCTGGTTAAAGATCATTAAAGCCTTTGTTAGCAGAGCTGACTGACAAGGAGAGTGGATTAATATTAGAACACCCTGTCAAAAGTGGTGAAAAGGCTGGATTGATTTTATGGGAAGTTTAGTCAGAGTTGTGTGTAAAGCCCTTGGGGGGTTACACTGCAGTGAATCAATCTCCTATATTAGCAACTCCCTCTGGGAATAGTCGACTTCAGTGTTTATTACAGCCGAGGCTGCATATAATAGGGATGGCAGCCACTCGCCTCCCTCTCTCCTTTCTCATAATTTGCTGCTTGCAATTGCAGCCACACAGAGGAGCACCTGAGATAAACAAAGGTGCTGGGCTCTGTGTAGCAGCAGAGTAGTGGGGGGGGGGGGGGGGGGGGGGGGGGGGGGGGGGGGGGATGAGATGAGTGTCTGCCACCAGCCCTGTCCTGCTGCACCCACCCTGTGCTCTGCCTGGGGAGCTGCTGAGAGCTCCTTTGTGGCTGCAGTTTTCATCCCAGTGCCCCGGTAACAAAAAGAATACACACAGGACAATGCCAGCGAGAGCTTCAGCAAACATCAATTAACAGAATCCCACACTGTGTGGGTAAGGAGGGTTTTGGCAACCCTGGAGCAGAGGCACATGGTTGAAAGAGATGTGAGTGAGGTGCCTGTGCACTTGTGGATCTAATTGCATTCAATCACCTCTGGATCTAAAGCAGCACCGGGGCAGCAGGGATGCTGTGGGCCAGGAGGGGCTGTGCACCCCCATGCATGGCTCATGGCACTGCGGTGATGGCATTCCCACAGCTGATGGCTCCCAGCCTTTGCCACAGCAGCTGTTTGATGGAAACAATCAGCACTTTTTGGAGAGACCAATGCAGCTGAGGCAGCTCCTGCAGGCCTGCTGGTGGTTCCTCCAGCTGTGCCTGCATCCTTTTGTGCTGTGCCCAACAAGCCGGGTAATTTTTACTCCTCCTCTTCCACTGTCACTTACTTCACTTTTTATCTGCACAACAGCAATTCCTTTCTGCTCCCCCCCCATCCTCTTCTCTCACTAATGCTCTTCACTTTCAAATGCTAATAATCTGCAGCACTAAAAGGCTTAGAAGTGGTTCTAGATTGTTTGATCTTTGGCCTGTGATCTACTTTCATCTTCCAGCTTTCAAATGTTACTTTGGATTTACTTTAACCTATTAACACGCTTGGTATTCACAGGCATGCACTTTTGGTGTGTTTTGCATCAGATCCACCCAAATTCAAACGAGCAGGGAAAGTTACTCTTCTGGACACCAACTTTTCACAGTGACTACTTGCTCACAGGCACAGTGGGGGGTTGGATGCTGAGGATGGGGATGTGATGTTCCCTGTTGCGAGGGGACAGCGGTGGCCTTGGACCTGCAGCCACCAGCCCAGCACCCAGCAGGGGATGTGGTGTTAGGGGATCACCCTCCTCCTCCTTTATAGTGGCACCTCTGGAGAGAATTGCTTTGAAAGCACTGCTTTGTTCAGCAGCTCCTCTGGACTGTCTGGTCCTCAGACAGCGCTGGATGTCTGAGCGGAGACATCAGAGCCTTCCTGAAGCTGTTATAACTTAATCTGGCAGGCCAGCCTGCTCCGGCACCTCTTGCCAAGAGAGGAAGCCAGAGCACTAGATGATTTTCAGACATTAGTGACTGCCATAAATCACAAAGCAGAAGTTATCAAGTGCTCTGCTAATGGACGTTTCCTTCCAGAGTATCCCCTCTTGGGCTGTGCAGGGGCACAGAGGCTGCTCTCAGTGGGGGAAGCCAAGGGAGCTGTGCCAAGGCTGGGAAACATGCTGAGGAAAGAGGCACCAGGCCCCAATTCCAGCCTGACTGCTGCACTGCTGTGGCTGCTGCTGCTGCTCTTTGTGGGAGCTCAGACCCCCCCAGCCCCATACAGATAGCCATGCTTTGGGAGCAGTGCAAATCCCAAGTCATCAAGAGGAAGGCACCATTGGAGGCCAACCTGCAAATGACTTAAAGTGCAGAAGGGAGATTTCAGCCAATCTGAGTGCTGGGCAGGGTTTAAACTGCGTGGAAGGAGTCGATGCTTTGGTGCTGAGATGGTTCTGCTCCATGCTGTGCTTCCTGGCTCCTTATAGCTGACATGGCAAAGGGCTCGGGGCTCTACCCCCTTCCCTTCGATGCTGATTCCCAATCAAAGCGATGCACTCCTTGAGGAGCAGCAAACTGTTTAATATTTAAACCTGAACAGCCCAGGCAAAGCTGCTTTTCTTTTTTATTTATTCTTTTAATTAAATGCCAATTAGAAAGGGAGGGAGAGAGAGAGGAAAAAAAAAAGGCATTAAACACTTAAATACACACTACACCCAGGTTGCTCAAAGTTGTTACGAGCTAATTAGCCACTTAAGTGATCATTTGAAATTCCATATCAAACAATTCATAATCTGCCCCAAAACTGGAGGCTCAGTGAGCAGTGATGGGCAGTGCCTGCCCTATGGCTTTTACTTGTGGGATTGGAGTTTCCCCTGTGTGTCCATGGGAACTTTGTGCAGATGGGACTGGGTAAGAAGCAGTATTTTCTGCCCAGAGCTGCCACCTGGAGCAAGGTCACTGTCAGGAGTTCTATTGGTGCTTTTTCCCCATGTCTCCATGCTTGGAGTTTGCAGTTTCCTTGCTGCACAGCCCTTCTGATTCTCCTGTCTTCAACAGTGCTATTATCTGCTGCCCACCCTGCTGCCTCTATGACCTGAAGGTGTTCAAAAACTTGTAGATTTTACACTGAGGGGCATGGGATGGTAGGGATGGGTGGATGACTTAGAGGTTTTTCCAGCCTTAATGACTCTATGACCTGACAAGCTGGTGCCATTCATCTCACGTCACTTCAGCCCTAAATGAATTCTGGGGGAAGCATGATGGTGAAATTCCTCATTCACCAAGAAAGTGTTCTGCCCTTCTGTGCCCCCTATCAGGGCTGGAAAATCTTCCTCTGTGTTTCCTTCCATGGAAAGTGCTGCCCCATTGATTAAACCCTGTGCACGTGTCTATCTGCATCCAACTGAACCCCGCACATCTGCCCCTAGCACCACTCTGTGAGCTCAGGGTTATGGGGGCAGATTGAGGAGCCCCATCCATAACCCATAACACCGCCGTGCCTAACGAACAATGCATTAATTAGAGGCAGCAATTCAACCTCCACCGTAATCAATTCCAGCAGTGCCCGCTCTGCCTGCACATCCGACAGCCTCTTCCACTCCCCTCTGCAAGATTTATTAATTATCAATGCTGGCTCCGGCGTGGCATGCAGAGGAGAGCAGGAGCGAGGAGGTGGTATCGGCGGCGGAGATCTGAGAGACGTCTGAAGGGGATTGGCATGTGCAGGAGACAGCCTGCCTCCTGGGGACTCGCCCGGTGATCTTTTTTTTTCCTCCCTTCCTCCTGCTTTTCTTTTAATTAGTGGAGCTGGTGCGATGCTCTGCTTGGACAGCAGAGAGGAGGGTGCGCAGCAGCAGGCAGGGGGTGGTGGGTGCGTGCAGCATCCCCTGCTCCCTGTATCCCATCCCTTCACCCAGGGCAATGCTTTGTGCCCAGGGCAGGCCCAAACCCATAGCCCCAGAAGGTGGCTCTGTGCAGACCCCCCCCTTCCCACCCACCTGTGAACTGCAGCCCTGCCAACCAGTAAACTCTGGTCTTTCCATCTATGGATGAAGGTTGTGACTTCCAAGCCTGCCAGCGGATGACCTTGTGATTTTATTGCTCTCTCCCACTGGTGCTGGGGAAGCCATGTTTCCAAGCCTGCCAGTGGCAGCTGGAGGAGGTGGGTTGGTGTGGGATTGGAGGGCTGGGGGCAGGTTTGCCCCTCAGGCTCACAGCCCATACTGTACTCCAAGCTTTTTTTTTTTTTTTTTAATACTATTAGAAAAAAATACAAAACGAGTTATTTTTATGCCCTTTTGCCCCCCTGTGCTCTCCTGCCTGCTGTGTGCAGGAGGCACTGGGGGTTGCCCCCATTGTCCTCCCCTGGGCTGGCTCAGCATGGCACACAGTGCCAGCACCAGCAGCCATGGGCACAGTGTTGTATTGGCATCTGCACGAGAGCTAATAAGGAAACATCATTTCAAACTTCAGCCCTCATTTGCCAGCTACAAAACAGCAAAACAAAGTGAGTGAGAGAGCGTGAAGGGGGAGTATGTTCTAAATGTGCCTGGGAGGATTCAAAGACACTTTAAAGTGGGGATGTGGTCTGGGGAAGAGTCTATTTTCAATGCAGATTTGTTTTTGTTTGAATTAGTTGATGCTTATTTTAAGCTCCTGTGGCACGTTGTCATCTCCGGATTGCTTGTTTTCCTGTGCCAAAGTCAACCTTAATTTTTTTCCCTCCTTTCAAGAGGAACCCACGATTTTCCCTCTGTTGCACAGTGCATCAGATGGGCAGGACAGACCCAGCTTCTCTAAGCAATGCTGACAAGATTACCTACTGATTGCTGGAGTAAAATGTTGCATTTCAACTAAAGCTGGGGCAGATGGCGGAGGAAAGCGCTGGAAACTTGTCACTAATTTCTAGTGAAGGACAAACCTCTCGGGGATCACGGGTTCACTCTGGGTAAGCTGGGGAAGTTTGGCTGTGTTGCTAATGCTCATCCTATGCATCTGCACTGGGAAACATCCCTACTCCCTGCACCCCAAATTGTGCCTTGAAATGGGGGGATGGAGACACCTGGGCCCCCTGCAGCCTGCCTTGGCAACCCACATCTAGCAGGTTTGCCTTCAGCAAGGGGTAAATGCTGCCTCCACATCTGCACAAAAGGGGCCAGCGGATTTAAGTGCAGCATGGACAACCCCCAGGGATATCCTGTGTAGCATGGGAACGCTTCTCTTTCATCTTTTATCAGGAGACTTGGAATGGGAACCTTTGTGAAAGAGCAGCAGCAAGTATTGCTTATCCCTGGGGGGGCTCAGTGCCTTCCTAGAGAAGAACAAACATGATGGGAGGAGGGCTGCAAGCACGGGTCTGGCTGTGATGCTGCAAGGAGAACACAAGCAAAGCAGGAAGTTCCCAAGTGCATGGGTGTGAAGTGTGTGCCACCAGCCCCACTCAGCAGGGATGGGCCTGGGAGAGCCATCTGTCTCTGTGGGGAGCAGCAACAGGGCTGACACCACTCATACTGCTGGTTGGAGTTTGGAAATTGCACCTCACCCCCTCCCCAGGAGCTGGTGGCAGTGTGGCACTGACTTGGGCTGTGTGCATGTGGGCTGAAATCAGACAGCCGACAGAACCCAGTCCGAAAGATCAGATATTAGCTAATGAGCTAATTAGTTTCTTATCAGCAGCTAATGGCCAGGAACTTCGTCGGCATCTGTCGCCATCGCAGGCGGGTGGGGCGGATGCTGAGGATGTGGGACCAAAGCAGAGCTACCAACACAGATTCCTAGAGCTGCTCCACGCTGTGGGTCCCTCTGCTTTTGTTTTTGTGCTCTGTGCCAGTGCCTTTGAAGATGGGCACACCATCAATTATTTAGTGCAATAAATAAAGCTCTTGACCTTTCCTTGAGCTTGCCCCAAGACACCCCTGCTCCTACACTGGGGCTGCTCGCTGGTGTCATTACTTAGGCTGTGCCGCTCCTCATCGTGCTTTCATCCTGCCCTGTTTTCTCTACATTAATCACCACAGAAAAGGTCCAGGGTGCACAAGAAGCCCCCACGGTGCCAAACCTATGCATTCCTGGCTCTGCTCAGCCCCCGGGACCCTCCTGGCCACCAGCAAGATGCCTGTTGGTCTCTGGCTGCTGTCACTCCCTTAGATTTCAGCTCAATCATTTCTGAAATGTGGAGCTGTAGCTAAAACGCCTTTGCAGTTTAACAGGATTTTTCACAGCCTACACAGCAGAGGCTAGAGTTGCTCATCACCTGCTGTTGTAATCTGCACCGTTAAGCCTCCAGCTCTATACAGAAAGCTTAACTTTGCTTTGCTTATTTGCCTTCTCTATTCCCTCGCATCCGGCAGCCATATTTCAGGCAGGAAAAGTTAATCTTTTTTTCCCCTGACTCCAGACAAAGGCATTTCAAATGAGATACAAATTGCTGATGAAATTATTGGCTTTGAGCCCCATCTGGGAAAGGCCCACTTAAAAGAGCCCCTGCTAAAGGGAAGAAAGCCATTTTCTGCAACTCTGACAGCGCGCTGCCAGGAATCACAGAATCACGGAATGGTTTGAGTGGGAAGGGAGCTCAAAGGCCGCCTGGTGCCTCCCTGCAGTGCACAGGGACACCCACAGCTCCAGCAGTGCTCACAGCCCCATCCAGCCTGACCTTGGCTGTCTGCAGGGACGGGGCACCACCGCCTCTCTGGGCAACCTGTGCCAGTGCCCTACCATGGGCTGAGATGCTCTCCCTGCAGGCAACGGGACCCTGATCTGTCCCTGCAAATGCACAGGGCATCCCTACAGCTGTGTTCAGGATGGGCTGTGCAGGATGCTCCCTTCCTTAGGGCTCATTATGAATGCCGTCCTCAAAGATAAATGTACAACTTGATGCAGAGGTATGCTCTCTGGCGAAACTGAAAAGTTATAGATGTTAGCTTTGTGGCTTTATGAAAGTGCTTTCTTATGGAACTTGAAATGACCAAGATTAGATTGAATTAATATGTACAGTTTTTTTTTTACAAAGATTTCTAGCAGAAGCATTTCATAAAAATGCAAATCTCAGCTGAGATTTATAATTAGTAGAGATATGTGTGGAGCTCACAAATTATCAGCAAAGCCAAGCTCTCCATGGATAATTGCATGGGGCTGTGCTCAGCATCTGATGGCATCCTCTGAACCCTTCTGCCAACTCAGGAGCAGCACAGGGTGCCCTGGGCACAAGCATGGCATGTGGGAGCTTTGCAAAAGCAGGATGCAAGGGGATATCATGGAGCACCTGCTAGGAGCAGGAAGAGGAAGGGGAGGAGGCAGATTGTGATGCAGTTGTCCTGATGCTTCCACATGCTCCTCCTCCTTTTGTGGTGTGGGAGTCTGCTGTGCTGGGAGCTGCTGAGTGAGCTGAAGGGAGCAGAGATGCAACGCACTGGGACAATCCATCCTGCTGACGTGAATCTGTACGTGCTTTTTTTTCCAACTTCTTGTGATTTCCTGACACCACGTGAAAAACCGCAAAAGAAAAGTTATTACAACTGCTGTGAAGTTTTTGGGGAAGGGCAGCAAACCTCTGCAGCAGCACAGCTTTTCATAGGATCATAGAATTGTGGAATCATAGCACGGCTCAGGTTGGAGGGGAGCTCAAAGCCCACCCAGTGCCAACCCCCGGCCATGGGCAGGGCTGCCCCCACCAGCTCAGGCTGCCCAGGGCCCCATCCCACCTGGCCTTCAGTGCCTGCAGGGATGGGGCACCCACAGCTCTCTGGGCAGCATCTCACTGCCCTCTGAGGAAAGGATTGCTTCATCACATCTAACCCACATCTCTTCTTTTTCAGGTTAAAGCCATTCCCCCTTGTCCTTTTCTTCAGGCAGTGCTGGGCACGTCCAACTGTGAGCTTTCATTTCTCTTCCATTCTGTCTCTGCCATTTCTTCTGGAGGCCAGAAGGAGACCCTGGTGGAATATTAACTCCGTGGTCGCTGAGTGATTATTTATTGCAATCATTGCTTACGGGTCCTTTGACTCGTCTCTGTTAATTAGACTGCAGGGTGTAATAAACGTGATGGAAGGTGCCCAGGCAGGGCTGGGGATGCTGCAGCATGCGGAGCAGCCGCTGTGCTGGGTGCAGCCTCATGGCCAGCCAAGCCTTGACCTCATCCATCCAGCAAAGGGCAGGAGAGGCTTACAAGTCTGAAATTGTATTAAAAGAGAGCTGGTGCTGAACAGCGTGGCCCTGCTGGAAATGAGTTCACGCTTCCAGAGTGCCTTCTTGGTGTTCTCCCAGTGCCTGGCCTCTGGGTACTGAAGCCTGGCACCCAGATGCTCACCATGGTTCTATCTGGATGTTTACCTGTGCCCAGGTCACCCATTTCAGCACACCAGGGATCTGGCCCCGTGGGGCACATGGTGGCATGCACACCCCAAGGGCACTGTGGGGTGGGAGACAGCAGGCACAGAGCTGCCCCTGCCCTCTATCTGAAGATATTAGGAAAGGAAGGAGAAATGAGCTCATTAAAATGGCATTGCAACCCCCAGCGGGGACTCCTGCTGAAGCAGACTGTGTGTAGTGCGTTACGACGAGAGCTGAGAGCAGCTCAGCTCCAAGAGTTATTTAAAATTTAAACCCACAAATTAAACAGGTTCTTTTTTATAATGATAGAGTCCAGGTCCCGGGTCCCTGAGCACCTCTCACTCGCAGACAGCTGAAATACTTCTCTCCATGAGCAGCCTATGGGTTCTAGCATCCCCACTGCTCACACATGTCCCTGCTTGTGGCCGGGTGCTGCTTGCCCTTATGTTGGCTATGGATGAACCCCCCCATGCCCCCCCAAGCCTCAGTGGTGCCACGCAGAGCTCGGGTCAGCCGCAGTCTCAGCTGACTCCTGCTTTGAGTTTTAACTTCAGTTTTTAAATTATCACTCAAAGCAAAGCCATGGTGAGAGGAGAAGAAGTCCTGACATTTGTGTCACAAAAGGAAACC